CAGGGTTAACATCTTGTACCAAGTAACCGAGTTTCGGTTGGTGCTGGTTGTACAGTAGCGTGAGGCCCAGCCTTGTGAGGGCTGTGACTGACTCGAAATTGCCAGTCTGTCGTAAATTTTTTGGCTCATGAGTTTATGAGTGAGGCTAGCATGGCCTGGGTGTCACCTGAGTTGGTGTTGCTGGGCCTTCCCCTGCCTCCGTGTTGTCCGTTGATGTATGGAGGAGTTTGAATAACTCTGCTTTCCTTGCTGTGGCAGGGTAGGGGATTTGTCGCCTCCTTAGGTCGGAGCCACATCTCCTCTGCTTGAAGGTGTATCACTTCTAGCCGGGGTGCCAGGAAGAGGTGATTCTTCACCATCTTTTTGAGAAATACTTAAATAACAATAAAGATTGCAATTATTATTTGTACCCAGGGGTCTTGTACTGGCTTGCTAGCTAAGCCGTAAGGCGAAACGATTAGGCTTGGTGTTTTTTGGTGACTGGTGAGGCCCTGCTAGTTGCCAAGTGGCTTGAGAGGCTCTATCTATGCTTGGCGCGAGGGGATTTTTTGTGGCCACCGAACGCTGTGGCAGGATGTTGGCCTCTCGGTGACAGTAACCAGAAAAATAGGAGGGGGAGTGACAGGTGAGGCCCTCTCTATGATACAATGCGAGGCGGCTAGCTCACGAGTGGCCCGAGGGGTGTATGCCTCCGAGTGTGAGGCGGGGTGTTGGCCTCGCGGGACCACTAACCAAAGCGTAAAGCAGAGAAACAGGGGGTAATACCTATTGGGCCATAGAACCCTAATTGCCAGTACATTACTACTATTCCAGGGAAGGAAAGAGATGAAGGTGTATCACTTCTAGCCGTGGTGCTAGGAAGAGGTGATTCTTTATCATCTTTTTGAGAAATACTTAAATAACAATAAAGATTGCAATTATATATTTGTACCCAGGGGTCTTGTACCGGCTTGCTAGCTAAGCCGTAAGGCAAAACGATTAGGCTTGGTGTTTTTTGGTGACTGGTGAGGCCCTGCTAGTTGCCAAGTGGCTTGAGAGCCTCTATCTATGCTTGGCACGAGGGGATTTTTTTGTGGCCACCGAACGTTGTGGCAGGATGTTGGCCTCTCGGTGACAGTAACCAGAAAAATAGGAGGGGGAGTGACAGGTGAGGCCCTCTCTATGATACAATGCGAGGCGGCTAGCTCACGAGTGGCCCGAGGGGTGTATGCCTCCGAGTGTGAGGCGGGGTGTTGGCCTCGCGGGACCACTAACTGAAGCATAATGCAGAGAAAAAAGGGGGTAATACCTATTGGGCCCTAGAACCCTAATTGCCGGTACACTATTACTATTCCAGGGAAGGTAAGAGATGGATAACTACGTGAGCAGGTGTACGTACCTGGTAGTTGGTATTGAACCTGACAATCCTTATAGGTTTTTAGTAGTAACTGTAACCTGAATGGATAAAATCGTATGGCATAAGGAAATATGGCATAGACCAAGCTTATCTTAAAACATACAGTATATGTGAAAGTAAAGTGCCGTGATATGTAAATATTAAACATCATATCCATACTGGTTAAATATGTATCAATCTTAACCCATTAAGTGCCGTATGTATGTGAACCCTATTACCAGTTACGTATATACAGATGCGTGTGCTACTGTGTAATAATATGTGTATTTATAACAGATATTGATATACTGCTTGCTATGTGAATTGTTGTATGCCTTATTGAAAGGCAAGTGAACATGCAGTTGCAAAATGCAAGTGCACTGGAGATCTGCCGAGTGCCCTATAGGTGGCAGTGTAGTTGATACTGATTGGTATGTGAAATGTTGTTTGTCTGTTGACCTATAGGGGTCAGTGTTTTGGTGTTTGTAAAACCCCATGAAAAACCCCATGAAAATTGTCAATGTACTTGACAGACCTGTAGGTGGCAGTGTTGATAGAACCACTGTTAGTCTTAATGTGAAATGTAAATTATTGTGAATTAAACCTGAAGTTGAGCCCGTGTTGGAGTTTAATGCATGGTTTATGGTTATGTTTAAAACAATCTTATGTGTAATTTATATTGGCTGGTAATTGTATATGACATGTGAAGACAGTTTTACTGTTGACCAGTAGGGGTCAGAAATGCTGATTGTATGGTAAAATACCCTTTAACCCCTGAAGGATACATGACATGTGTGACATCATTTATTCCAGAGTTTGGTCCTTAAGGGGTTAATCCAAATGCAAGGTTAACGTGAGATTTTGAGAGTGACCTGTAGGAGTCAGTGTGGTTTATGTGAAACATTGTTTGTGAGCTATGCCCCAGCATTATAGTTGTGAAACAAACAGTGCCCGTTTGACAATATACAATAAGTGAACATAATAGCTTAATAACAGTCATTGTAACAAACCAAAGTTCTGTTCGTGGGTTGTAAACGCACGAAACATGTATGTAGTACAATAGTAAATGCATGAACTAGTACCCGTTTGGTAGAAAATTGCACTAATCGTGAGCCTGGTATGTCAGGGAAACAAAACGAAACGGGCAGTGAGATTCGAAATGCACGCACAGAATTGCCTGGTATGTTTAGGCAATTGAAACAGAATGTGTTCCTGTTTGGGAGTATGCTAATGCTCGAAATGAGCCAGTGACAGATATAAACAAGTGAGTTTAAACGAATGATATGCATGAACATGCAATGGTTTTAGGACAGATTTAGACCAAATGCAGCCGTAAAGTGAGGACCTGACCCGTGCATGGTGCCGTGGGACTGATGCCTGGCGTAACGGGTAGGTCGACTTACGGTTTGTGAGTCACTTGGACACCATCCACAGCAATAGATTGAAGAAAGAAGGTGGTAGGCCGGAAAAGCCTGTGGCTGAATTCCTGACACAGCTCAGCTTAGAAAACCTCATGGAGTAATCAGGTAAAATGGCGTCTGGATGACCCGGAAGTGGAAATCATTCTGATGCTGACCTCAAGCGATATGAGTCAGGTAAGGGGTGTCCCTTATATAGGGGAGTGAATTAATTTAAGCCCCTCCCACAAATACAGGCCAAATGGCCTTAAACCATATATATATATATATATATATATATATATATATAGATAGATAGGTAGATAGATAGATATACACACAAGATAAATGATAGAGCACTCTATACGATTTTGTGTAATGTGAAAGCAACGTTTCACACTCCTGGATGGTCAAAACGTTGATCTCACATTACACTATTGAAATAATCCTATGGAGTGTTCTATCATTTACCTTGTAGATTTTTGCGCTTAGAAGCACTTTATGCTTGTTGTTATGGTTGTTATATTTTTTTTTTGTGTGGTTTATATATAACGCTGAGGTTTGCACCCAGGCAAGAATACCTTTTTTGCTTATAATAGGGTGAGTGCCAAGATTACATGTATGTATTACATGTATACATGTACACACAATATGTACGCATTGCATCCACTACACAAACACACACACTGCATAACACACACCATGTCCACTTTACACAAACAATTCATCCACTTTACATACACTGCATCCAATACACAAACACACTGCATCCACAACACACACACTCTACACACATGTCATCTTTGTGGATGGACTTTAAGGCAGGCTGTTTGGGCGATTTTGAAGGCAGGTACTGACGGTGGGCTTGAAGGTGGGCCCCTAGGGCCCAAACTTTGTACTGTGTAAGAGGCCTTAAAATGTATGAAGGCAATCCTGTCTCCTACATTCAGGATAATTGGAAGGGCTCGCTTCCCTGAGCTGTTGGTTCACAATAACTTCACACAAATGCGTCAACAGGCCTCATCTCATTTTGTATCAATCATGGTCATCACTCCATGGTGTTACAGGCATCCTTTTCCTCTAAAGGAATGCCCACATTAGACAAACACTTGACATACATGGGCAAACCTGGGATAAGATCCACACCATATGGACTAAATTTTTTTGCAGATGAACATCTTAGGGCAGCTCCTACACACAATGTCTATCTACACAGAATACAGTTTAAGGTACGTACTCTAAAGTTTGGTTCTGGATTCATTGGCCCATCAGGGTTCATTGCAGATGCAACCCATCTGGTGTACCCTAGACCTGCATAAAAATGTATGTATCCCTAATGTGTTCCACATCCCCTTACTCATATCCCAGATGTGAAACTGGTTCACCCCAAATGCATCTGCTCCTCTTTTTCTTGCTATTGATGAACAAGAGGAGTGTGAGCTACAATCTATGATTGATTGAGAAAATTAATGGGAAAAAAAAGAAGTACCGAACATTACGTTTTGTGGACTCGAACACGGACATATCACTGTATGTTCGGGTTGGAGTTCGGTGTTCGGCGATTTAATGACGCGTTTTGAAAGGCTGCAGGGCAGCATTTGACAAGCGTTTGACTCGTGTGCCCTTAGAAGCCATCACAGCCATGCCTACTAATGGCATGGCTGTGATTGGCCAGTGCAGCATGTGACTCAGCCTCTATATAAGCTGGTTACTTAGTATTATTAAATTATGTAGGGGTATGTCTATTAAACAGTGAGCAGCCTGTAGCTGCTAACTGTTAAAAAAAAAAAAAAAAAACATTCCCCCCTCCTGAGCCCCAACCTGTGATGCATGAGTGGGGGCTTTTAAACTAAAGGGGGGACCTATTGCCCCCTTGCTCCGACCCCTGAGCGGCGGGTGGGGGCCCTAAATACCAATAAGGGTGGGGACCTATTGTCCCCCTTGGCCCCCACCCCTGAGCGGTGGATGGGGGCCCTAAATATCAATAAGGGGGACCTATTGTCCTCCCCCTGGCCCCCTACCCCTGCGTGACAGGTGGGGGCCCTAAATAAAAATAAGGGGGGACCTACTGTCCTCCCCCGGCCCCCACCCCGGCGCGGCGGGTGGGAGCCCTAAATAACAATAATGGGGGACCAACTGTTCTCCCCCCCTACCTCCATCCCTGAGTAGTGGGTGGGGGTCATAAATAAGAATTTGGGAGGGGACCTACTGTCCTCCCCCCGGCCCCCACCCCTGCGCGGTGGGTGGGGGCCATAAATAAGAATGTGGGGGGGGACACCTAGTCACCTGGGGGGGTTACATTTTTATTTAAGGCCCCCACCCGCCTCTCAGGGGTTGGGGCCGGAGGGGAGGACAGTAGGTCCCCCCTCCCAATTTTTATTTATGGCCCTCACCCACCGCTCAGGGGTGGGGGCTGGGGGGAGGACATTAGGTCCCCCCCCATTTTTATTTATGGCCCCGACCCACCGCTCAGGGATGGGGGCCGGGGAGGGGAGGACAGTAGGTGTCCCCCCCATGTTCTCATTTATGGCCCCCACCCACCACTCAGGGGTCGGGATTGGGGGGGAGGACAGTAGGTCCCCTCGCGGCAGGTGGGGGCTGGGGGGGAGGACAGTAGATCCCCCCCTTATTGTTATTTAGGGTCCCCACCCACTGCTCAGCGGTGAGAGCCAGAGGGGAGAACTCTCAACATTCTTATTTAGGGACCCCACCTGTGGCACAGGGGTGGGGGCAATAGGTTTTTTTTTGTTTTTTTTACAGTGAGCAGCTACTGTCTGCTCACTGTTTACTAGACATGCCCCTACTCGCAGTATTTTGCTCAATTGTGAAAAGTGAGCAAAAGAGAGAAAAAAAGGAAGTGTGATAAAAAGAAAAACAATCTATATTTATATGTTATATATTTTTTAAAATATGTAATATATAAATATAATTTTTTTTAATTGCTCCTCCAGTTTTTCCCTCTGTTGATAACTTTTTCTTATGTGATCTGTAAACAAAATGACAGGAAAATGTTTCTACCAGTTTACAGCAATATATTTACATAATATTATATCACTATAATAATATTATGGTACAAGTATTGGCCCATTTTCATTCCCTTTTGCTTTGTCTGATTTGTTTTCTAACCAGGTTCTTGATACCAAAATTCTGCCGTACCAAACCTACAAATGACCAAAAATGTTTGTGCCATTTTTTTGGGGGGTGCGGGGTAAAATGGTTTCTCCAAACCAAAATTTCTAGCTGTGCACAAGTTTAATGCATACTCTAATCCTAGTCTCTCCCAGTCCTATTAGAAGCAAAAGAGGGGATATTCAGCGATTGTGAGTTACTGGATAGTTCTAGGAGGCAACTTAGTCACCAGATACGGAATCTCTCTTGTCCGGTAAAGAAGAAGGAAAGCCGAAGGATGGTGTAGCGCCTAATATGTCCTTAGGAATATGTAGATGATAAGAAGAATAATAGAGCTAATAGTGTGATATGTAAAATACAATATAACAGAAGGTAATAAAAATTGTCCACTAACACTTTTCAATGTGGTCCACAGGTCTGTCAGTAGGTCCTCCTCTGTGTCGATTAATTTGTCAGCATGTGGGGACAGAAAATGATATTATGGTGTAGTATATCAGACTCAAATAGCAGTAAGTAAAGAAGGTACATGATATAAATTAGTATAAAAACACATTTTATTTAGTATAGAGAATATGTATTCAAATATGAATTGAAGAAAACTGTCAGTTAATTCTTTTTTACTGTTGCATAATTTTAACATTATTATGTGTTCTCAAATGATTTGTATAACATGCCACTTAAGACTCATTTGATGGAGACATGGAATTTAACTCTAATTTTAAACATTAAATATTTAAACTATTATCCAACAAATTTATAAAAATGTGTTACCAAAAATAATTTTTGAATGAACATCTACTGTATATTTTTGTTTCATTTTCTTTTATTAATTCAGATGCATTCATTCCTATAAATAATAAGACTTTTAACATTTGGAAATACTGTCAAGAGATGACTAAAATTCAACTGAATTACAGAGAAAAGTGGTAAAAGATTTAGAATAATGCTGAGTATTGAGAATGACTGACTTGAGATGATGAAAAAGAGCAATTTGGCAAGGATATGCTCTGTATGTCTCAGCTCTTCATGGGAACAGTTGTGTGGGCTGATTTCAAAGGTAAATGACTAATAATGTTGTGTTGGTACTCCAATCATAAAAAAAACCCATAGTCATCAATAAAATAACACAAAGTAATGAGCCACATAAAGAAGCGATTACCTAAAACAAAAATTTAAGCTTAAAATAATTCCTTACCAATATTTTTAAATATGATCAATTAGTCTGTCTGTCTGTCTCTCTCTTTCTTTCTATATAGACAGACAGACTCATTGATCGTAAGGAATTATTTTAAGTTTTAATTTAATATATATATATTTAATATAATTTAATATATATATTAAATATTATTATCTTTTTTACCAGGATGGAAACATTGAGATTTCTCTTATTTTCAAGTATGTCCTGGGTCCACAAAACATTGCACTGTTACAATAGGATACAATATTACAAAAATACAATATACAAACAATATATATATATATAAATATTTATAAACACACACATATATAAATTTAACCCCTTAAGGACTGAGCTAAATGTACACATTGTGATAAAAACAAAACCTGGAATCTGACAATATGTCTGTTCAACCGTAATTCACCTCTTTCATATTAAGTGCACCCACACTTATTATATATCATTTTATTCAGGGGAAACAGGGCATTCCTTTAAATATTTAGCTATGAAACATTATTTAATATGAATAAAATATAAAAAATTGGGAGAAAACTAGAAATTATGTTTTTTTTTAGTTCTACGTGACATTTTAACCCCTTAAGGACGGAGCCAAATGTACAAGTTGTGAACAAAACAAAATGTAAACAAAACCTGGCATTTGCGCTACATGTCTGTCCAACCGTAATTCACCTCTTTCATAGTAAATGCACCCACCCTTATTATATATCATTTTATTCAGGGGAAACAGGGCTTTCATTTAATATCAAATATTTAGCTATGAAACATAATTTAATATGAAAAAAATGGGAGAAAATACGATTTTTTAAAAATTTTTTAGTTCTACATGACATTTTAACGGCCAATGTCATAATACTGTTTGCTTTTACTGCAATAAAATACACATATTTGTATTCAGTAAAGTCTCACGTGTAAAACAGTACCCCCTATGTACAGGTTTTATGGTGTTTTGGGAAGTTAAAAGGTCAAATATAGCACGTTACATTTGAAATTGAAATTCGCCAGATTGGTTACGTTGCCTTTGAGACTGTATAGTAGCCCATACTGGCATACACCCATACTGGCATACCATTTGCAATAGTAGACAACCCAAGGTATTGCAAATGGGGTATGTCCAGTCTTTTTTAGTAGCCATTTGGTCACAAACACTGGCCAAAGTTAGCGTTAGTATTTGTTTGTGTGAAAAATGCAAAAAACGCCAATTTTGAGAAACTGCTATGTTTATGAATGGGTTAAGCCTTCCCCCTATTCCCTGTAGTGGCTGTCTCATTGACAGCCACTAGAGGCGCTTGCGTGCTTCTCACTGTGATTTTCACAGTGAGAGCACGCCAGCGTCCATAGGAAAGCATTGAGAATGCTTTCCTATGAGACCGGCTGAATGCTCGCGCAGCTCTTGCCGCGCGTGCGCATTCAGCCGGCGGGGCGTAACGGAGGAGGAGAGAAGGCAGAGAGCTCTCCGCCCAGTGCTGGAAAAAGGTAAGTTTTTAGCCCTTTCCCCCTTCCAGAGCCGGGCGGGAGGGGGACCCTGAGGGTGGGGGCACCCTCAGGGCACTATAGTGCCAGGAAAACGAGTATGTTTTCCTGGCACTATAGTGGTCCTTTAATTTCACAATACAGTTAGAACGAAATAACACACATCTATATATTTTTTAATTATTTATTTTTAATTATTTTTTTAATTTTATTTTTTAACGTATTTACATTTTAATTTTTTTATATTATATATAAATATATATATATAACAATAATTATATATATATTTAATCAGTCTACATGTAATTTGATATTAATATATATATATATATAATTATATATATATTAATAGTAAAATACACCTAGACGGTGTACGTGTGTGTATGTATGTGTATATATATACTTAGATCATATATATATATAATATATATATATGATCTAAGTATATATTATTTTTTTTACACTATTTATTTGTTTTAATTTTATTTTCAGCCAGCAGGAGGACCACCTGTCATTACAGGCAGCCCCCCTCCTGGCAATGCTGCAGCCAGCTACCCCCGGCCATGTGATTGTGGGGTCCCCACTCTCACATGGCCGGGGGGCTTCGAGGAGGACGGACGTGCCGCGGGGGGCTCCCTGGGAGTCCCCCCAACCGCGATCGCTGGCGTGGGACCGCCGGCGACCGGGTAAGTACCGAAAGACCGGAGGGCGTACTATTACGCCCGGCGGCGTTTAGAGCCGCTTAGAATAGGGCGTAATAGTACGCCCTCCAGTCTTAAGGGGTTAGCTGTGAATGTCATAATACTGTTTGTTTTTACTGCAATTAAATACACATATTTGTATTCAGCAATATCTCACGTGTAAAACAGTACCCTCTATGTACATATTTTATGGTGTTTTGGGAAGTTACAGGGTCAAATATAGCATGTTAAATTTTTCATTTTTTTCACATTGAAATTCGCCAGATTGGTCACATTCCCTTTGAGACCATATTGGTAGCCTAGGAATGAGAATTACCCCCATGATGGCATACCATTTGCTATAGTAGACAACCCAATGTATTGCAAATGGGGTATGTCCAGGCTTTATTAGTAACCATTTGGTCACAAACACTGGCCAAAGTTACGTTCTAGTTCATTTCCTTTATCTTGTTGATTTTTATTTTTTTGGCAGGGGTGGGGGGGAATATGCAGCATGTTGAATGACATGCTAATGTGAGAATTGCCATGTAATAATCTTTCTTCATGTACTTGTATTGTATGAATACCCTGTAAACTTGTAAATGCAGCTTTTTTATTTCACTATGTTGCTCTTGTGACATGAAATGTTTTCTTATAATTTCCATTTCTATGTCTTGAAAATATTTAATAGAACATGAAAGTCAAACACTGTAGGACTTAGGCAGGATTTGTTTCTGTACAGGGCACCTGGTTTTGGGTAAAGTTTTGAAGAGATATTTTTTAATGTGAAGGGCAAAGGATAGATTTGGGTCTAGATATTTGAAAGAACTGACTGAGGTCAGTGTGCAATTTGAATTTGTTCTGAT